ACACATGCTTCGTGTTAATGTCCATGATAACTAGTGACTTTTCTCGATCCATTTCCTCGTTATATCCTCCATAAAGGTAGAGCCGATTCCGAAAAATGAAAGAAACATGTGAATGTCTTGGAACTAATGAGATTGGAGGTTCCCAGATCCAAGTTTGTAAATTTAAACAATTAACTTCAGAGGATACTACACCAGCAGTTTCTTCATTATCAGAATAACCACCCACTATATACAATTTATCATTATAAATCGTTGCAGAATGTTTAGAACGTCCTTGAGGACGATGGCCAGATACTTCAGGACGTTCCCATGTCATAAACTTCAGATCAAGAATAACTACATCATCACAATATTGATCTTCATCGTCTGTGCCACCAAAGATAATCAATTTATCCTGATTCCACAGTGAAGCTGAGTGGTTAATCCTTTTCGATGGACGAACACCTTTCAAATAAATCACATCCTCCCATTTCATTTCAGTCACGTTTAATCTATATAAGTCATTATAAACTTCATCAGTATACATGTGGAACCCGCCAAATACATAGATATAATTTGGCAGTTGACCAGGATTATTGCCATTAGGGACAACTGTTACTGATGCATTAACTAGGCAACTTAAAGAAACTCCTGTGGCTTTAGTTGGAAATGGGTTTGATTGTGAGAAAAATGACGAGCTTTTATCACCGTGAATAAAATTGGGCGTTGTGGAAAAAGTCGAAGAAGAGGAAGAAGGTGAAGAAGTGTCTTGAGGCGAGACAGAAGTTTCTGATAACATTTTTTTTTTTTTTTTCTATGCTCCGAATTGCACTATTTGGAAAATAAAATAAAAAATAAAAGTAAGACTGAGTCAACTGGACTTTAAAGAAATAGTGGACGTAATTTGGCAAACGTATTATTGAAAAAAAAAAATTGTTTTATTTTTCGAATCGAATCTTTTGTCATACATTATTACGCGAAGGTTTTTGATTTGTCACAAGATATGATCATCATAACACCAAGTGCCGATCTCAGATATTAACTCTAATGACATTTTGCTTTTTTTAGTAATTCAACTGAGTACGTAGAAAAATTGCTCTATTTGTCAGTGTATTATTTCACGCAAGTTGGTTGTTAAATTGTGATCTATTAGAAAAAAACTGGGTTTATACGTACACTTTGGGCAGTGTTGTACACGGAACAGTTTGGGACAAAGTTGTGACAAAAATCCATTTTAGTTCTTAATAAGGCCATACCGATACAAAATAATTTTTTGGGTTTTCATAAAATTTTCAAACTGACCCGGCAACCCGGCTTTTTTTTTCAAAATTTATATATAAAATCGTATAAAATTTTTTTAAGAATTATAATTATATATAGTGAAG